TTCTTTTCTTTTACTTTATCTTATTTTTCTAATTACCATTATATATGTGTATTAAATATATATATATTGTGACTCTCTTAGTATTCTGTTTTTCTGAAGAAACTGTATGTGTACTTGGGTTGACCGTGGCTCAGGGGGTTGGGAATCGCATCTGTAACCGGAAGGTCGCCGGTTCGATCCTGGGCTCTCTGTCCTGGTCGTTGTGTCCTTGGGCAAACACTTTACCTACGCCTACTGGTGTTGGCCGAGGGCCGATGGTGCGATATGGCAGCCTCGCCTCTGTCAGTCTGCCCCAGGGAGCTGTGGCTACAACCGTAGCTGCCTCCACCAGTGTGTGAATGTGAGAGTGAATGAATAGTGGCATTGTAAAGCGCTTTGGGTGCCTAGAAAAGCGCTATATAAATCCAATCCATTATTATTATTACTAGACAGGAGAGTTGTTCAAATAAATAAAATAAAAAGTAAAAAAAAATGTAAATCTAAACAGCAGGAAATGTCGATAAAGAACAGAATGACTGTTTAACTGGCAGGGACAGTTTGTATTATGTTAGAAGCCAACGAGTCACACACATGTGGATAGAAACTGGTCTTCCTGTTCCTACATTAGACATGAGAAAACTCAGGACAGCAGGGCCCAGAATCGAGCATGTTAACGGGAACTGTTTGCCACGGTGGGCTTTCTTTCAACAGACCAAAAGAAAAAACAAAAACCTTCTAGATGTTCTGGTACAGAATTAAAAGTCTGTTGCAACATCTCTGCCACCATAATCTGTGATTCTCTGCACAGATACTGTTGTTTCTTCAGCCCAGTGTCGTCTATAATATGTGAAACATATGTCAACGTATCCCTCATGAATGATATCAAGTCATCTTGAGCCACAAACAACAATCCTGCAGCTCCGAGCTCCTTAGAATGGTAATGGCCTGTATTTATATAGCGCTTTACTAGTCCCTAAGGACCCCAAAGTGCTTTACACAACCTGTCATCCACCCATTCACACACACATTCACACACTGGTGATGGCAGCTACATTGTAGCCACAGCCACCTGGGCGCACTGACAGAGGCGAGGCTGCCGGACACTGGCGCCACCGGGCCCTCTGACCACCACCAGTAGGCACCACCAGTAGAATACCACGACCTTTGGCAGTGACGTTAATATATCCTTTTATTTATGCAGTTTTAAAAAAAAATCATTGACACTAAAAATATCTTTTTTAAGAGTAATCAGGATAGCAGATATTGCAAACATATTTTAAGTGGACAGAAAGACCGGATTGGTTATAATGTAAGTACAATCACACAAAGTCAAAAAGATACTTGAAAAACATGGAACCTTTAAATTTGATATAAAACTCTTTTGTAAACCCTGCTCACCGAACATAAGTAAAGATATTACACATAGAAAACTCACGGAAACATTGGAAATCAGTTTTTGGCACAAACCGGTATCAGTGATACAGTCGCTGTATGTGCGGCGAATATAGTGGAAACCGGCAGTGCAACAGCAACATGGTGTCTATGTATACAAGAAATTTATTACTAAGTTGGTTATTCCAAACAGCATTATTATTATTATCTTGAAATCAGTCAGATACGGACGAGTCAACCTGGTGAAAACGCTGCACGTCTATGTAGCTGCTGAAGTCTCAGCGACTCAGGACACGAGCAGACACTTTCTGTCTAATCGCCTACTTTTGTGCTGCTTCCCATAATTTCACACGAGGGGAACGAGCCAGTGTTCACAGAGTACATTCTCAGTAGCTACATGTCCCATATATGCTTTTCTACATTGTGCTGATGCGCTTTAATAGACTGAATGACCAAAAACTAAACTTGGTGTGATGCATGCAGCTGGGCACACATGCGCCTGACTGGAGCAATAAGAGCTTCAGCTTTCAGTGCATCACGCAGACCTGAGATACACCTGAGCTCCATCACTCTGAGAGTTTAAAGTCTATTTGAACTTGTATTAAACTGTGAAGCAGTCGCTGCGCGCCCCACCTGTAGCACCCAGTGATGACGACAATCACAGCAGAGTGTGAAATGAAACAAATATCGCTCATCGATCACGTACCTGCTGAGATGCTGTCTGCGTCTGGCGGCTGGACTTCCTCGCATGAGCGCGCGTCCGTTGTTCGTTTTTATTGAAGCATGACGCGCACACGGAAAGCCTAAACCACGCCCCGCTTTCAGATCCACACTGCAGGAAACCGGACTCCGCTCCAAGTCAGGGATCTGTACCAGCACCAGCACAACAAAGCTCAGAAGACTCCTCCTGATGACGCCGGTGCTGTCCCAAAAAGTGATCGTCTTCCAAAAACTGATTTCCGGTATTTGCCAAAAACTGATTGCTCGTATTTAAATTGCTATAAGTAACTTATTGGGCTATAATATGTGAAACATATGTTAAATGCATCCCTTATGGATGACATAAAGCATAGGTGTCAAACTCTGGCCCGTGGGCCAAATTTGGCCCGCAGCCTAATTACATTTGGCCCGCGAAGCCATACCAAATTCCTATTAGAGCTGGCCTACTGGTATTATACAGCTAATATATATATTGCTTAGTATTAAGCTTTGTTTGTTCCATATTCAGTTTTTCAGCAAAGCGTGTTTGAGTTCATAAGAAAAGATTCATTCTTATATCTAGAGGAAGATTTGTTTTTCAATAAATATTAATGTTAGCCCAGTTTGGAATTTTGGCCCAGTGTGTATTTGAGTTTGACACCCCTGAAAGTCATCTTGAGCCACAAACAACATTCGTGTAACAAGGTAGAAGCCGCAATCAGTTTTTGGCAATGACTTTTACGTAACCTTTATTTATGCAGTTAAAAAAAATCTCATTACCATTAAAAATGTCTTTTGTAAGAGTAAGCTGGCCAACAGGACAGCAGAAACGGCAGCAAATATTACAATAGTTCAGTAAAAATATTTTAAGTGAGGATAAAGGACCGGATTGGTTATAATGTAAGTACAATAACACAGAGTTGTAAAGATACTTGAAAAACTGATAATTTTTTAATTCTATATATAACCCCTTTGTAAACCGTGTTCGCCGAAGTCTGTTTACGAACATACGTAAAGATATTGCACAGAAAAAATACACAGAAACATTGGAAATCAGTTTTTGGCACAACACCGTGCTCCATCAGAACTATGTCAGGGTGGCGCTCCGTGATGCTGAGCACTGATCACTGCAGGTGGGACATGACTGTTATATGTATTAATGTAATGGGACTTCCGAGCTGTCACTTCTAGAAGAACACGAAGTCCGTGCTCCACTGTCCTCATCGCCCATCTGTCATCTCATACCAAACACAACATCGCACACAGTCTTGAACCCACAGCAGTAAACAGGAACCATGTCATCGCTGTAGCCGGGGAGCAATTTAGCCGACGCACGGTTTCCATGGAAACCGCTTACCTCGCAGGGGAATAAGCCAAAAAGTTCACGCCAGCTGTGACATGGTGACTGCATGAAGACCAGGCCTACAGGTGTGCACGTAGCTGTTTAAGGTAACCCAACGATAGGCGGATGTGTGAGCGCGTGCTCGTTACGTCTTTGCACTTCCTTTTTCATCCGGTAACAGCAGGTTCAGGGACCGGGCTGTCTCTGCGCTCGCGGCAGGAGTGATGCACCGGCTACAGCACACTGTGAGTGTAAAAGTTATACGTTTGTAACTTTGTCTCTGCGGCTGCGCACCACGACTGTGATGGAAACAGCCACTGACGTCATCATTAAAGTGGTGTCCACCATAATACCGCTATAAATCTGTATATGACATACAGCACCCAGCTGTTCAGCACATGCGCACAGACAACAGTCAGAGTCACAGAGCTGGACCTCTGAAGCTGAAACCCCAGGACAGCAGCCTGAGTCCTGGAGAATATTGGACTTGAAACAGTACAGCTGTGTAGTACTGTACTGTAGCTGTGTAGTACTGTACTGTAGCTGTAGCTGTGTAGTACTGTAGCTGTGTAGCACTGTACTGTAGCTGTGCAGTACTGTAGCTGTGTAGTACTGTAGCTGTGTAGTACTGTAGCTGTGTAGTACTGTACTGTAGCTGTGTAGTACTGTAGCTGTGTAGTACTGTACTGTAGCTGTGTAGTACTGTAGCTGTGTAGTACTGTACTGTAGCTGTGTAGTACTGTAGCTGTGTAGTACTGTAGCTGTGAGTACTGTAGCTGTGCAGTACTGTAGCTGTGCAGTACTGTAGCTGTGTAGTACTGTAGCTGTGCAGTACTGTAGCTGTGCAGTACTGTAGCTGTGTAGTACTGTAGCTGTGTAGTACTGTAGCTGTGTAGTACTGTAGCTGTGTAGTACTGTACTGTAGCTGTGTAGTACTGTAGCTGTGCAGTACTGTACTGTAGCTGTGCAGTACTGTAGCTGTGTAGTACTGTACTGTAGCTGTGTAGTACTGTAGCTGTGTAGTACTGTACTGTAGCTGTGTAGTACTGTAGCTGTGTAGTACTGTACTGTAGCTGTGTAGTACTGTACTGTAGCTGTGTAGTACTGTAGCTGTGTAGTACTGTAGCTGTGTAGTACTGTAGCTGTAGCTGTGTAGTACTGTAGCTGTAGCTGTGTAGTACTGTAGCTGTGTAGTACTGTACTGTAGCTGTGTAGTACTGTAGCTGTAGCTGTGTAGTACTGTACTGTAGCTGTGTAGTACTGTAGCTGTGTAGTACTGTACTGTAGCTGTGTAGTACTGTAGCTGTAGCTGTGTAGTACTGTAGCTGTGTAGCACTGTACTGTAGCTGTGCAGTACTGTAGCTGTGCAGTACTGTAGCTGTGCAGTACTGTAGCTGTGTAGCACTGTAGCTGTGCAGTACTGTAGCTGTGCAGTACTGTACTGTAGCTGTGCAGTACTGTAGCTGTGTAGTACTGTAGCTGTGTAGTACTGTAGCTGTGTAGTACTGTAGCGGTGCAGTACTGTAGCTGTGCAGTACTGTAGCTGTGTAGTACTGTAGCTGTGTAGTACTGTAGCTGTGCAGTACTGTAGCGGGGCACGTGGTGCATTGGGGAGACCAATGTGTGACTGATTACTGTCATTGTGAAAAATGAAGCTGTTCCCGTCTTTCACGTGTCTCACGGTGGATCAAAATCTGTGTAATTTGGCGTACTTCAGCGTTTTCTCCCTGTTTCCTGTTTCTTTGACGTTTTTTGTAGTCAGTGAAAGAAATAGGAACAAATGCAGTGTTTTTCCAACAGGCTCCTTGTAACACAGTAGAACAGGTACAATCTGACATTGATTCTTTTGTAAGTGTTATCAGGACCCAGCTGCAATGGTCCAGCTTTGAGGGCCAAGACCGTGAGTTTCATTCTTCTTCTTGGCTCTATACAGTTTTTGTTTGCTTACTTATTTACTGCTGTTATGTGTCGACACAACACTGGTTCATACCTTCAGTTAGAGACTTTTTGTGTTTGAATGATTCATACACAGAGTTAATGAGATTGTTAGCTGCACCATGGAGCTGGAAGTTACCTGGAATCCTCTGAATGAGTAACCAGGTTAGATAGATACATAACAAGGACCTTGATCCTCAAAGAGACTCAACATCATCTGTTTTTGGACGTAGTCTGAAAACACACCACAAAAAAAAAAGTTACTAATCCTTGTTGCCCAGCACTCAATCAGACATCCACAACAGTGAGCCGGTGCAGCATATCCATTAGAGTGTAATGAGCTCGGAAAGTAATCAGCTGACTGACTAGAAGTGAAGAAGCTGTTGGGCTGAGAGGTGAAGTGCAGTCCCTTTCTTCCTGACCTCCTTAGAAAACCACGACCTGGATGGAACGAGGACAACTTACCAGGCAGAGGAGGCGTTATCCCCTCATGTAGTTATTTTTCCAAAGTGACAAAACCTGCACTGCATGTAAATTCAGTTCAATTCAATTTCTATAGCACCAAATCACAGCGGCAGCCTCAAGATACATCAAGCTGCAAGGTAACGATCCTACAGAGAGAAACTCCGTCCACCAAACGACCCGCTGTGAGCACTTCTCACTGACGTCGAGTTATTTGCTTCAGGTTTTAGTCACATCCGTCCTGCAGGTCTAATGAATGGAGTTAAAGATGGTTTATTTGTTTGCTGCAGATTGCGTGCAGCTCAGAGGTGTTTTTCACACCTTATTTTCAATAACACAAGAATTATGGAGATCAGGTTCATTCAAGCCTTAACAGAATAAAACGACTTTTCATTCACAGAGTAACACAAAGATCAAACCGTGTGGACCTGAAACGTCAGTATCTCAGCCTCATTTTAAACGACACTTACTGACGTGTGTATAAAGCTTTCATGCATCGCATCTCATGGTGCTGACAACATAAGGTGGACAGAGAAAGTACACTTTATTAATTCTGTTTGTGGCAGCGGGCCATAAAAAATCAGACCTAGGGCCATGATTGGCCCCTGGGCTGGACTTTGGACATCCCTGTTGTAGCTTCTCATTTATTGGAGAGTCAATCAAGGTGAATAAACAACTTACCTGTCAGCAAAGAAGTTTTAATTAACAAGCATGTGGCACAGTGTAAAGAGGAGGACAGTGATTTCATTACAATTAGGATGTGTGTGTGTGTGTGTGTGTGTGTGTGTGTGTGTGTGTGTGTGGTCATCTTTCTTCTTAGAGGCGCTCTGTGTCTTTATATAATGCAAAGGTTTGTACACTGGCAGCACCACATGAATGTGAAAGCAGTGATATGTTTAATCCTAATAATGATTAATTGTCTTGACTATAGTCGTGCAGCTATAGATATAAAAAAACTGTGACTGCATTTATGATTATTGTTATGTACTTTACAGATGTTGTGGTCACTCTTGTGATATTAAGCCAGGCGAGGTTTTATAGAACATGAGCTGGTTATGGGCACGCTGTAGCATGCTGCAGGCGCGGGACATGAAGCATGTGGAGTGGAAAGCTGTGCTTTAAAACAAACATTTTTTTCATTGTATTTAAACTGCACCTCATGATAACAATCATCTCAAGGCTCTTTGTAATACGATCACATGATCCTCTATGAGCCCGCTGACAACTGCGAGGAAAGAAGTCCCTTTCAACAGGAAGTGTCCTCCTACAGATGCAGGGTCAGTAAGGAGAGGACAGAGAGGTGAACTATAGAAATGCATGAGTGAAAACAGGTGAGTGAAGAGGAAACGCTCAGTGCATGGAGGCAGTCGGCCTGCAGCCTGAGGCCATAGCAGGATAGCTGACCCAGCCAAACTCCAGGCTTCATCAGAGCGATTGAAGGCTGATCTTTAAAGTAGAGGCTGTCTGTCTCCTAAACTTAGACTAGCTTTCAGCTCCATGTCTGATAGAAATCTGTAATAATGTGAGAATATTTGTTTCATGTTCTGAGAAGGATGATGTGAAAACATGTGAACGTGTAACACCAGAACAATGTTGGTGTTGGAAATAATGAAGTAAGACCAGTGTAGCCGTGTGTTTGCAGTTACTCAGCAGTCGGGCTGTTCAGAGTGGGACGCTCATCAGCACTTTTTCATGTTTCTCTTTGTCATGATGAACTCGATTTGAACTTCTCTTTATTTGCACACATTTTGAAACATTCGTCTGCCTCTAGTGAAAACAATAGAGGTCTGTGGGCTATCAATAGACACTAAGACGTTGGATCTGGAAAGACAAATTGGTTTTGCTAAATATTTAAATGTCATTGTTTCATTTTCAATGCAACAAGCTCTGCAAACTAGATTCCATGCACCTCTATTGTCCCTGTTTAGATAACATGCAATCCCCAAATGAAACCAGGACAGGGCTCTAGAACGATATCAGGAAATATGTCATTTGCAAAAATATGTTTCACAGTATGTTTAAGCTGTTGATTGAAGGGTCTAGTGGTCCACAGGCTGTGAGGATGACTGAGGAGCTCTACATGTTGCTTTACATTAACAAGTTTTATTTCAGTGCAACTGCGAGGAGTTGTCTTTACTTGAGTGATGTTATTTAAAGCTATGTAAAAGTGTGTGTGTGTGTGTGTGTGTGTGTGTGTGTGTGTGTGTGTGTGTGTGTGTGTGTGTGTGTGTGTGTGTTGCAGAATAAAAGATCGTGGAGATGAGCTGAAACAGATGGAGAACAAATTACAGGTGGAGCGAGACTACCACAATAAGAAGTAAGTCAGAGCCAAACTCTTCTGTAGAACCTCAATTTGAAATAACAGTGAGTCACCGTAGCCTTTGAAGTAACAGTGTTTTTGTCAGCTGTGTTTGTTAACCCTAACCAGCAGTAGCCTCAGTAAAACGAGTAAACAGCACCTATTGAGTTTAATGAAGTAATAAAGTTATTATGATCCAATTGATCTTTCTGAGTTAACTTCAATAATTACTTCCTCCAAACCATCAACGTGTCTTTTAGACCCCATTCCTACAAAACTGCTCAAAGAAGTCCTGCCATTAATTAATTCTTCGATCTTAAATATGATCAACCTATCTCTAATAATCAGCTATGTACCACAGGCCTTCAAGCTGGCTGTAGTTAAACCTTTACTCAAAAAGCATCTCTAGACCCAGCAGTCTTAGCTAATTATAGGCCAATCTCCAACCTTCCTTTCATATCAAACATCCTTGAAAGAGTAGTTGTCAAACAGCTAACAGAGCATCTGCAGAGGAATGGCTTAATTGAAGAGTTTCAGTCAGGTTTCAGAGCTCATCATTACCTTGGCCTCCAGTAACACTGTGAGGAACCTTGGAGTCATTTTTGACCAGGACATGTCCTTCAATGCACATATTAAACAAATATGTAAGACTGCGTTCTTCCATTTGTGCAACATCTCTAAAGTTAGAAATATCCTGTCTCAGAGTGACGTTGAAAAACTAGTTCATGCATTTATTACTTCCAGGCTGGACGACTGTAATTCATTATTATCAGGATGTCCTAAAAACTCACTGAAAAGCCTTCAGCTAATCCAAAATGCTGCAGCAAGAGTCCTGACAGGGACTAGAAAGAGAGAGCAGATTTCTCCTGTTTTGGCTTCTTGTTAAATCCAGAATTCAAAATCCTGCTTCTCACATACAAGGTCTTAAATAATCAGGCCCCATCTTATCTTAATGACCTTGTAGTACCATATCACCCTATCGGAGCACTTCGCTCTCGCTCTGCAGGCCTCATGGAAACCTCATGGTTTCTCCATGAGGTTTCTGGGCGTGCAGATCTCTGATGACCTCTCCTGGAGTGCAAATACTACAGCGGTGGTTAAAAAGGCCCAGCAGCGTCTCCACTTTCTGAGAGTGCTCAGGAGGAACAACCTGGAGGAGAGGCTGCTGGTGACATTTTACAGAGCCACCATAGAGAGCATCCTAACGTACGGCATAACAACATGGTATGCAGGGTGCTCAGCTGCAGACAGGAAAGTACTGCAGAGGGTCATCAACACAGCCCAGAAGATCACTGGCTGCTCTCTGCCCAGCCTGGAGGTCACTGCAAACTCTTGGTACCTCAGCAGGGCTGGCAATATCATCAAGGACCACTCTCACCCCAGCAACCAACTGTTTGAACTATTACCGTCAGGCCGACGGTACAGGTCACATAAAACCAGGACAAACAGATTCAGGGATAGCTTCTTTCCCAGAGCTATCACCGTAGTAAATAAGCACAAAAACAATTGAACCTATTCCATACCGTCACTGTCATTATATTATGCTGCTATTCATACTGTCATTATATTATGCTGCTATCCCGTATATATTGTACTTACTATTGTTTGAGTACTTGCGATTATTTTATTGTACTTTTTATATTTTACATTTATATTTATTATTGAAACTTGCACCAAGGGAGTGGCACTCCAATTTCGTTGTACTCTGTACAATGACAATAAAGGCTATTCTATTCTATTCTATTCTACTTGTTGTTCCTAGAGTATTTAAAAGTAGAATGGGAGGCAGAGCCTTCAGTTTTCAGGCCCCTCTTCTGTGGAACCAGCTTCCAGTTTGGATTCGGGAGACAGACACTATCTCTACTTTCAAGATTAGGCTTCAAACTTTCCTTTTTGCTAAAGCATATAGTTAGGGCTGGACCAGGTGACCCTGAATCCTCCCTTAGTTATGCTGCAATAGACGTAGGCTGCCGGGGATTCCCATGATGCATTGAGTTTTTCCTTTCCAGTCACCTTTCTCACTCACTATGTGTTAACAGACCTCTCTGCATTGAATCATATCTGTTATTAACCTCTGTCTCTCTTCCACAGCAGGTCTTTATCCTGTCTTCCTTCTCTCACCCCAACCAATCACAGCAGATGGCCCCGCCCCTTCCTGAGCCTGGTTCTGCTGGAGGTTTCTTCCTGTTAAAAGGGAGTTTTTCCTTCCCACTGTCGCCAAAGTGCTTGCTCATAGGGGGTCATATGATTGTTGGGTTTTTCTCTGTATCTATTATTGTACGATCTACTGTGCAACATAAAGCGCCTTGAGGTGACTGCTGTTGTGATTTGGTGCTGTATAAATAAAACTAAACTGAATTGAATTGAATTGAATTATGAATACTCAACGAGGAAGTGACCTAGGATTTTGAAACTGATACCATAGCTGCTAAAATTCTCACATGAGCCTTAATCACAGTGACCCTCACGTGAGAGGCGTGGGCGTGTCTGGATTAGCTTCCTGTCTCTCTCACAGCAGCATTTCATTTTACGTCCTCCTCCTCAGCCACCTTTTCTCGCCATGTTCCCTAAGGCTCAGTCCAACACACAGCAATATCACATATAAAATATAATAGCCCATATTTTAAGTACTAGTCTTATTCTGTCTGCATTTTCAAAGGCTTCACACAGAGCAGCCACAAATGTGGACTCAGTGGGACGAGTATGTCAGGCAGGTGTCCAGTGAAATGGTCCTGAAAGACACACAAATCATCAGCCTGCAGGAGAGAGAAACCACACTAAGGACTGAGCTGGAGCAGAGCAGGAAACAGACTGAAAGGTGAGAGGGGGAAAGAAGAAATACGAAGTCGGGAGTGCCATGGAGGTCCTTCCTGATGCATTGAATGGAGTAATAAACAGGGAGTATGGGCATCATCTCTTTGTATTTATAATTTCCTGTCAGGTACAAACAGCATCTGAGAGCTGGCCTCAACAGAGAGAAAGTCTTGGAGAAGAACAGCGTGCAGATGGAGCTGGAATGGCAGCGACGCTTTGAAGATGTAAAGGCGGACTACTACCTTGCAAATGAGCAGCTAATACAAGACCTGATCGAGGCCAGAGACCAGGTCAGTGGCTCACACATAACCCAACCCATTCAATAGACTCTGTGTGCACTTTAGCACTAATGCTAACTGAAATACCTGCAGTGATGGAAGCTGGACAGTTCACTGCAGGACAGAAAAAAGAGACTTTTTTTCATGTGTTTTCTGTTACACGCGTGTTCATGTCAGCAGGTGTCATTTAAAAAACGAGAAATGAGAACACATCAGATCTACGCTCATACAGACTGATGGTAGTGTTAGGAATGAAAGGACTGAATGATGGACATGATTACAGAGAGATTCGGATGCAGCAGGCTAGTCTGTGTGGATGACATTTCTTTGTAGCAGTTAGAGATGATACTGAGGAGTTTGTATGGTCCTCACGTTGCCTGACAACATCGGGGCATGCTCCTGATGAGATAACAGATCTGGCCCAGGGCATCATGGAGCTCCTGAACAGTCAGAGGTGCAACCTGGGAGTGTCTCTGGGGCCGCGACATAATGTCCCAGAGGTGTCCTACTGAATTTACATCAGGACCCACTGCACCAGTGTAGGGTCTGACACTGGTACAAGGATTTCATCCCAAGATGTAATCAAGATGTCCTTACCAATCCCTTTTTCTTTTTTCTTTTTTCTTTTTTTTTTTTTCTTCCTTTTTTTTGCCTGTCCCGTTTGGCTCTTTTGCATCAGAATTGTTGTCTAAAGGCAAACAAAGATGCCCAACGGATTTACTTTACCAAACTGACCATCCCAGCCTTGCCGTAATGGTCCATTTGATTCACCTTTTATTGTTTATTTTATTTTCACTTACTGAATACGGGACAGACTTGACTGGGGGAAAGAAGGGGAGAAAGAAAGAGGGAAAGAGAAACAGCTGAGAAGAGGGACGGGGGAGAAGGGCAAAAGACAAAAACCAACAGAACGGGTAGAGAAAAAAAAATGCATATATCGATCACCTGGATCACCTGCTGAGAAAGAAAAAAGAAAACAAGCAGAAGAGAACAAGAGTTATAGAATAAACAACATCACAATGATATATGGGAATATGACAGTAAATACTAAATATTAAACATTATTGTGCAGCACATAAGAGCAACAGAACACAGTGTGCTTTGAGGTAGGAGCCAAAAAGGGTGTAGTTTGTGGGTGTGATCACCCGTGTGTACACCTGTGAGCATGGACGCGCTTGTTTTTTGTTTTTTAAAAGGTTCCTTCATGTAATAATCTGATAGAGGGTGTGGGGGGGCCACAGCCCCGTCCTCCAGGGCATGAAGCAGGTATGGAGGAGATCAAAACTCCAGACATCCAGAGGCCCCCAGAACACAAGAGACCAAGGAAGACCAACAGAGGGGCAGCTGCGCCACTGTCCCGGAAAGAGCTGAGGAGAGTCCCAGATGAGGGCTCACTCAGCAGCCGCGGAGCAGAAGCCAGGGGGAGTTGCAGTGACGCGCCCGTGAGCTCCGCCGGCAGCCAGCCGCGCCTGAGTGACCGAGCCCCAGGCCGAGAGGCCAGGGGCACCCCGCCTCCGAAGTGCCCGAGCGAGCCCCAGGCTCCAGGCCCCGATAAGCGGCCGCCAAGGAGTGAGCCGGTGTGTACCTGGACGCCCATCCCCGGACACAAAGAACCACCAACGCACCGATGTCTGAGGGAGTCCACCACTGGCAGGGGAAGTGGTGGTGGGCGGAGATAGGCCTCCAAACCTTGGAGGGCCTGAGATGTCCCCAGAGAGGTGGCGTCTGATACCCAACCTGACATATAGACACAGACATACAGGCACACACAGATACAAACATCCATTCCCCCCCCCTCATGCTCTCATATGCAGACATAAAGAGACGCTGTACACACGATCACACTCCCCAAGCGTACTCTACAAACCGGGTCTAGGTACCCTTGCCCCTGGAGGGGGGAACTGCACCCAGACCCAGGTGGTGTTACCCTTTTCCCTGCGGTGGGGGGAGGCAGACCACCCCGACTCCGCAGCAGCAGGGAGGCCCCACACTCCAGACCCCAGTCGGACGGCCAACTCCTCCTCCTAGCCCCCCCGCTCCAGCAGGTCGCAGAGAATGGGGGTGAGAGAAGACTCCAAACCTCCCTCCACCCGCTCATTGTAGTGTTGATGCATGTGTGTTCTAAGGTGCAATTAAAACCCAGGAGGGCATGGAGCTACCTGCCAGAGAGCAGCAGGTAAGCGCATGGTCCCTCCTGCTGGCCCTCAATGTCTACGTGTATTTAACATTGAGAGGTGGGCAACGACGCCAGGGGTGAGGTGTACACCCTGATGGTACTTTGGTACCAATCCCTACATGAAAGTCCTTCCCCATAATGTGATGGTGTCTGTAACAATGTTGCAGGCAACATAACGCTCTCCACAGCTTCTTTCACGTGTGACCTGTGGTCAGGGTGAAGCTTCTTTCATCTGTGAAAAACACAGGGTGGATCTGCCAATACTGGTATTCTATGGCTAGTGCCAGTCATCCCATTCCTGTGCAGAAGCAGACCTGCTGAGGGGTTCAGGACCTGCTACAGCCCTTCAGCTCTCCTAGAGTAACTGTCCATCTCCCGAATCTCCTCCATGCTGATGTGCTGGGAGACACAGCAAACCTGCTGGTAATGGCAGCAGGCTCGGGTGGCCCCCACCCCCCCTCAACAGTGACCTGTTTCAGTTTCAGCACACTGACAGAGGAGAGCTGCTGGTTTCAAAGCCCAGGATGTTTTATGAATGTAACACAGTTTTCATGTGTCAGGCTAAAGCTGAGCTGATGGAGAGAGAGCAGCAGCTGCATGATCTGACCGTCTTGCTCCAGTCCACTAGCAGGGAGCAAGATCAGGCTGTACAGGTGAGCACATGTTTAACCACACACTAATATCAGTCTACGGCTTGGCTGCTCAGCCAAAGCGTGCTGGAACAGAGCTCCTGCTGTCATTCAGCTTTTTTTAAAACCCATTTTCTATTATAATTTACAACCTTGCAACTTATACTTGTCAATGTTCACAAGTTGAACAGATACAGGAACAGGGCAGCAATGTAGAAGTTAAATTAAAAAAAACTTCAAATAATATTAATAAGACGTGGCAATCTTAGTAGCAATAAATGAACAGAGTGAACCTCTGCTGGATTATTGAAACAATAAGCATGTATGGGTCATCACTGAACAATCCTCTCTGCATCTGCAGAGCATGTGTTATTCCCTCCATCTGATAAATCTCTCTTATTTTATCAATCAAGATTTAACCATTTAATGATGATACACTTTAGTGCTGCTGTAAGCAAGATTCTCAAGAGATACTCTTTATTGTTTCCTGTAAAACCATTTGGTAGTACCCCTAACATGGCTAACTGTTGGTCTTTTGTTAACAGTTGTTGGGAAACTATTGAGAGCTTTAAATATGTCCTTCCAAACGGAGCCAATGGACATGACCAGAATATGTGTGAATGGGTTCCTAAGTGAGTACCACAATTTCGCCAACAAGTGTCAGGAGTTGGTTCATTTTAGCAATGATCTCTGGGGGGTCTAAAATATCTCATGACCACCTTCCCTTTAAATTCTCTCCACAGCCCAGAATTAGTCACCAGATGGGCCTCACTGAACTCTTCTTCCCAAGTCTCCTCTGAGATTTGAGTGCCAAGCTCAGCTTCCCGCCTGGCCTTAATATACAAAGTTGCACTTGTATTAAAACTCATAAATGCATGATAGAAATTACTAATCAATTTTGGGGAGGAATTACTGTGAAATATTTTTAGAGATATTTCCTCGATGGGTGAGGGCTCCAAACTTGCTTCCATTCTTTATGTTTTGTCAAAAAACTTCTTAGCTGCAAAAATCTAAAAAAAAGTCAGAAGAAGGAAGCTGAAACTTCTGGAGCCCCTCTGATGACATGGTCCAAAAAATAAATAAATTGTGGCCACAAAATACTACTTCGTGCACTCGAAATAGTATAACGTGCGCACGAAATGCTCATTTGTGGGCACGAATTGGGTAAAACGTGGCAACGAATTCTGCATTTGTGGCAACAAAATAGATAACGTGCGCACATCATATTGATACAATCCTGGACAGCTGCGTAGAGACATAAGCATGAGAGTAGGCTAAACCTACACACCGTGGGCAGAGACGGTATGATTGACTTTTATTTTAGGCTGGGAATGAGCTACAAATACATTTAGAAAAGCCTGCAATGCAAGGAACCATTATTACGGAGAGATGTTAAAACAGGATACTGCAAGCCCAGTTGCTTTACAGACGTAAGTACCACCTGGACGCTGGGATAGATTTTATTGTCAACCAACTGCAAGGGCCTGGGAAGGATCACGGTTATCGGTCAAGTGTTTCGTGCCCACAAATTAGCATTTCGTGCCCACGAAATAGTATTTTGTGGCCACAATTTATTTATTTTTTGGACCATGTCATCAGAGGGGCTCTGTAGAAACTGACCTCTCAGCTGTTGAACTCAGGTGCCCATTCCTCACAACATGACAAAGTTTATGAAGCCCGTTATTTGACCATGCTCTGAAGCCAGGGTCTTCCATAATAGGACAAAAACCCTGCAGGTTGGAAAGGCTTGATACAATTAAAATTTCTTTTGGACCAAATGTTTGTTTGATTCTACGCCAAATCTTTAGTGTGACCCTTGTCCATTCCCCCATATGCACATCTTAAGTGAAATGTTAGAGAAAAGCAGGGATTCCAATGATCATATTGTCTTCTCAGTGTTTAGCCACGTGCTGAGGTGGTTTTTCCCAGCTCAGTCTGGGCGGAGTTCTTTTTTCTCCTCGTCTTTCCTCATGTGGTGCATTTTCCATAGTTATACCTCTCTGACCTGTCTACCCCGTGTGATGTTTGTGTCATGTACAGGTATGTATGGTCGAAAGGGTAAGATGGCGCTTGCAAAGGTCAGCAGCCTTAACCCAATTTCCTTCTGCGCAGAGCGCAGGGGTAAGCTTTTAGTAATAAGGGGGCGACTTTTTCCTTAAAGTCTTTATCATTAATAAAACCATCAGGCCAGGACTTGTTTTAGTTTTAAGGTTTGAAATCACCTGTAAAATGTCTTGTTCCTGAATTGGTTCATCTAACTCTTTTGCTACCGATTCCAGCAGTGTTCTTAGATTGATCTTTTCTAAGAAATCAGACAGTGTACTGTCATCCTTGCATGTATCTGAATTTTTATATAATGACTCGAAAAAATTGTCAAAGCAATTTGCCAATTTGGTTTGGTTTAGTAATTGGGGTTTGATTCGACCTCAACTTTTGGACCATATTACACAATCGCTGTTTCCTGAGTCTTATTGCCAGCAATCTACTAGCCCTACTACCTTGTTCCTAATACTTTTGTTTAATGTATCTTAAATTGCCCTCAATTTTATTGTTAATTAAACTATTAATCTCACTACGCAGCACTTTCAGATCGGACAGCTAGTCGGCTGTCTGTGGTTTTTGTGTGTTATTGCTCGAGGTGCCTTATTTTGGCCTCCAATTCACACCACCTGGCCTCCCTTTTTTTTTCTGGCACTTGCAAATGATATTATGCAACCTCTAATGTATGCCTTGGTGCAATCTGATAGAGTTAAGGGCGATATCTCCGGAGTTGTATTCAATTCTAAGTAAATATTTAATTCAGTATGTATGAACTCACTCAGGCAGCACGGTGGTTAGCACTGTTGCCGCACAGCAAGAAGGTCCTGAGTTCAATTCCACCATCAGGCCGGGGTCTGTCTGCGTGGGTTCCCTCCGGGTACTCCGGCTTCCTCCCACCGTCCAAAGACATGCAGCTTGTGGGGATAGGTTAATTGGAAAATCCAAATTGCCACTAGGTGTGAATGGTTGTCTGTCTCTGTGTGTTGGCCCTGCGACAGACTGGCGACCTGTCCAGGTTGTACCCCGCCTCTCGCCCTATGACAGCTGGGATAGGCTCCAGCGACCCTGAAAAGGATAAGTGAATGGATGGATGTATGAACTCACAAAACTCGCTATCATTTAGGAGTGAGGCCAAAGTTTTAGTTTTGGTGTCAATCCTAAGTCCCATGAGAGTGATAGCGGTGCATGGTCAGATAGTGTAATTGGTAAAATTCCAATATTGTTAATTCTATGTTCTTCTGTTTTGGAGGTAAAAAATAAATCTATCCTGGAATAGGATGCATGTCTATGCCAGTAAGAAGTATAACCTCTGACTCTAGGAAACCTATTTCTCCAAACATCAGTTGGTCCCAGTTCAGTTGTTAAGTGTTTTAGAGCTTTACTCATGTGAGACACATGACTTTTAGAGCTTGGTTGTTTGTCCATGTAAGGTGACAAGACACAGTCAAAATCACTCCAAGCAGTAAAATACCAGAACATTAAAAATTGTATGAACTTTGGCTCATCCTCATTAGGGGCATAAATATTGAAGCGAGAAACCAATACTCCATCGATGGAGCCATTGACCATAATGTACCTTCCATCTGGGTCTTTAGGATAGCCACCCCTCTTTTCCTGCCAGATTTGTGAGATGAATAAAACACTTGTTGTGCCCACGACCTTTTTAGCTTGTCATGCTCAACATCAGATAAATGTGTCTCCTGTAAAAAAGCTATGTGACCTCAGACCTCTACATTGGAGAGACCAAACAGCCACTTCACAAGCGCATGGCACAACACAGAAGAGCCACCTCCACAGGACAAGACTCAGCAGTCCATCTGCATCTAAAGGATAAAGGACACTCTTTGAGGATGCCAATGTTCACATTTTGGACAGAGAGGACAGATGGTTTGAAAGAGGAGTGAAAGAAGCCATCTATGTCCACTGTGAGCGACCATCTTTGAACAGAGGCGGGGTTTACGACACCAACTCTCTGCCATCTATAATCCAGTTTTGAGATCCCTGCCAGACGCCTTAACGCCCACTCACATCCTGGGCCATCTGACCTCAGGAATTCACATGATAAGGTGGGGCCAGGTTTCACAATGAACACACCCGAAACTCTGGCTGATTGGGACCCACACCCAGTTTCCCACCTTGGCTCAGGCGATTAGAGGATCATCAGGGGGTCCTTTTGTCCCTCTGTGGGGGAAACTCCCACTAGGTTTATATCTGGGACTCTCCACCATTTGACCTTAGAACTGAAGAAGCTTCTCGGATGAGAGGTGAAACGTCTTCAAGCAACTTAAAGAAGTCCAGACGCTTTTCTTTGCAAGCTCCTTTGACTACGATGACCTGGATGACTGAGAACCTTCACAGACATATGTGACAATTGAAACTTTGTAGCTGACCTAGTGTTACCTCTTTTAACGGGGCTGTGGAGGCCTTTGACATTATAACTTATGACTTTAAGCAAATCCATCTTAACTCTTCAGAGTGAAGTTACAGATATCTGGGAGCATAAGTAATTTTGAACTCCATGATGACCCAAGGATTTTGCTTAACATAGGACAAAACAAAAGGAACCATCAAACCAACAAACCAAAAACGAATATATAAAGCACCTTGTACAAGTTTTTTACCCATCAAATGATCCCTGGGAGAGCAAGGGACCTGAGCAGGTCAGACAACAACAAGACAAAAAGTCAACAAGTCCTCGAATGCAGCTAACTCAAGTTTAGATGTCTTCATATGAAATGATGAACTGAAGTTCGGGGAGAATTGCTGCGAGCAGTCTCAGTGCAACCAACAGGTCTCAGTGCTGTCTGCTAGAACAATAGTGGAACTCAGGCCTGCACAACTTGCAACTAAGCTCTGTGATGTAGTTTACTGAAGTAAAGAACTCCGAGTTACCTTCCACCTTGGTCCAGGAGATAAGACCATCATAGTTCACCACCTGCTGGAGAAAGTATGTTTTCCTTGACATAATCCATGGCTTTGGCAGCATCCACAAACTCTTTTTCAACGTTGTTGTAAGAGACAGGAAATCTGGCAGGGTACAGGATGTGGACTCCCAGTCTATCGTGGAGTATCTTCCTCACGCAGTGAAAGCTGCCCTGACTTTCGCCACCCTGCCGTGTAGTCGGGGAATATGGCGATTGGGTTTCCGTTGAAGAGTAGTTTACCTCTGCGCACACTCCTGAGGATGTCCACGGCATCTCCTTTGCTGTTTGATTTAGCAATGATAACTTGTGGGGTATCCCCGTGTCTCCGTTGAGTCAGACTACGATGAAATCTTTCCACGCGGACTTCCCTGTCAAGCCAAAACACCTCTTTCAGGAGCGCTGAGACCGCCTCCGGTGAGCTGGATCCCTGGGTTTCAGCCACACCGGTGGCTCGGCTTGGATAGCGGTAGTTTTGCTATTGATTTCTGCCGTGCTCTCATTGCCTACAACATGCTGGCTCATTATGATGATGGGACTTTCAGATGAATACAAGAAGCTAATAGAAGGGCTGCACGGTGGTGCAGTGATTAACCTCACAGCAAGAAGGTCCTGGGTTTGAATACACCATCTGAGGGTGCATGTGATTATTAAAGTGGGACATCTGTCAGAATCACTGTACTGGGTTGACTTTCACAGATGCTCATTTCTGTTGTGGCCACAAGGTGGCAGTAATTTACTGTCCTGTACATCACTGATGACTGAGGATCTTCTAGACCCAGCAGTCTTAGCTAATTACAGGCCAATCTCCAACCTTCCTTTATATCAAACTTCCTTGAAAGAGTAGTTGTCAAACAGCTAACAGATCATCTGCAGAGGTTTATTTGAAGAGTTTCAGTCAGGTTTCAGAGCTCATCACAGCACAGAAACAGCTTTAGTGAAGGTTACAAATGATCTTCTTATGGCCTCTGACAGTGGACTCATCTCTGTGCTTGTCCTGCTAGACCTCAGTGCAGCGTTCGATACTGTCGACCATAATATCCTATTAGAGCGATTAGAACATGCTGTAGGTATTACAGGTACATTTAGGATAAATATACACTTTGCTCAAAACATTTGTAATTTTGTTACCCATAAATTTGCATAATTATGGTTAAAAAGCTGTACAGTGATGCACATGTCTGAGAGCGGCACAGAGCTCTGCATAGTCCTGTTCAGTACTGATGGAAGCAGATTTATAGTTATTGTTGTGTTGTTGGTGTCCCTGCAGTCTCATCGTTTTGTGTATTTTTGATCTGAACATTCAACACACAATAATGCAAATTTCCAATTCCTGTTCTTCTTCCTGTGAAACATCACTTACACGACATAAAACCATCTAAATCCACAGGGTCTCACTCCAAAGGTGGATTCTCTGGCATCGGTGGAGATCCGGCGTCTACAGGAGCAGAACAGCGCCCTGCGTGCTGTGGTTACCCAGATGAGAAAGGACATGGAAGGTCTCGGCCATCTCCTAGTCTTACCTAATGCTGAGGCACCAGTGCAACCTCCGTATCAGGAATCTTCAGCCTCCAAAGCCAACACAGCAGGTGCTGTCTGGCTCTGTATACAAACCTTGATGAGTTTCTGCATCACTGTGACAAACTATACACGCAAACCCTTTCAGTGGGCTCCACATGCTAAGATAGATTTGACCCAGTGACCCACATCACTGCTGCTGATTCTTCTGTTAAACATGCTTTTGTTGAACTTACAGCCACAGACACTCTGCTCATCGCATGTAAGAAAGAAAAGCTTAGAATTATCATGAACTTGTTTTCTGTTTTTCATTTTAATGTATAAAATAATAGCTTTGGATAATCTGAGTGTTAAGCTAAACTTTAACACTCCTTCTCCTTCTCTGTAAAACTGGACTCAGACTCCTGTCAGCCTCTGGAGCAGGAGGTGCACCTGTCAGGTAAGCACCTCGAGGAGCAGCGAGGAGGTGTCACAGGACTGTCAGGCCTGGCTTCAGCCATGGAGGACCCACAACACATCAATCCAGGCAGATCACAGCCTGAAAATCAAGCTGGTATTATTCATACTGTTAATTTCCTCCATATAACCCCAAAACATTACGTTAGCTAACACAAACACTGTAAGTAGATGATAGAGAGGAACATAAGGCGTTAAGCAGCAGAGGTGTTTGTGGCTGTTGAACATGTTCATCTTCCACAGTCACTGAAACCTGTATCTTTGACGTTTGTTGGTCACATTGTCTCCCTCATATCACTGCATCATATTTGTGCCGTGGGTCCTCAGGTGGTTCGTGTCTGGATGAACGTGGCAGGTGCCCCGCTGTGACACGTGTGGAGTCAGCTTCCAATGACATCACACAGCAGGTACTACAGGAGGTTTATTGATCTGTCAGTGGAGGTGGAGCCACTGATCTGCTTAACCCTACCTATCACTGTTAGAAAGCACAAAATGGTTTTATCATCATCTTTTCAGAGGACACTGGTGCAGAAGCTCCAAGGAGACAGCAAGTATGTGAAACCAGCTCTGATGTGTGGCGTGTTTAAGAGCGTCCATCCTGCTAAAAATGACCCCCAGCTCCTTCGCGTCAGGCTGAAGCAGGCAGCGTCCTGCATCGCCCGTTTGAGCAGAGAGAAACAGCAGCTGATAGCGCTGGGCAACCGCCTCCGTGCCCAGATCGCCGCCGACGGACGGCAGGGTAGAGTTACACACCCGTCACTGCACACCCCGGTACAGCACAGCAGGGTGGCTGTGCTGGGAGGCTGCAGCCCAGTTTACTGGAAGCATAAATGAATTTAAGGACAAACTGAGACGCTGGCAGTACAAAATCAAACTGGACCTGCACAGTCACACTTTTCCTCTTAAGAATAGTCGGATGGTGTGCCGCTATGAATTGTGGGGATTATTTACTCTCCTGTTGTAAAGAATGCTCCGGTTAATTGTATGCTAAAGGAGGTAATAAAGGACATAATGAAGTTTCCTTTAGAGAAGGAATGTGATTCCAGCACCTGTGAGTTCAGATACTGCAGGTGAAATCACACAGTTAGGAACAGCACGTACCTGATCGTCATCATCTCAGATCAGTCTGACATCACTCCACCTGACCAGTTAGCCTTCTTTTATTCAGTTCCTGTTGGCACTGACGTGGGCTTTCCTGCTGTTTCCTCCTTTTAGGAATGTAAAACAGCGACTCAGGGCCTTTTTGAGGAGACAGCAAACGACAGCAAAAGCATTTAGAGTTCCAGGATTGTGGAGTCACACGTATATCAAATGTTCTGCAGCGACTGCATGAGAACGTTTTATTACTGGATGGATTCAGACACAGCAGTACTGTGTGGGGCTGCAGTGGGAAAAGTTACAAGAAAAGTGATTCAGACTCTACGCGTATGGACTATTATTAGCATGCATGTGTGGTGTTTGTTTCCACAGGTGGATGATATATTCTGTGGTGTTTACAGACAGACTCATGAAAAATGAAGCAGTCAGAGGTCCTTAAATATCTCTGTGTCCAACAGCACCGGGGGGGCTGGAGAAGGACACCCCCACAGAGAAACTAGGAGACCACCATGGCCGCCTTTCTGCTGTGGAACAGCTGCAGTACCAGCTCACCACTCAGGTATCTGCTCGTCCTCGTCCTCTTCTCCAGCAGGTTTACAGAGGTTTGAATGTGTTACTTTGTTGTAGATGTCATTTGAAATGGATACAAATGCCGTGGTCTCCATCCCTCAGTATCACACTGACACATGAGTGCAGGCGGCACTTTGTGCAAATGTGTTCAAATTAAAAATCTGACGTTTTTACTTGAGGGGAAAGTATGTGCTTTACTTTAATAAGAACACGTCTGTGTCTGTGCTGCACCGGATACAGTGTTGGTGTGTTTGTGCCATCAGGAGCTGCAATATGCACTGATGCAGAGAGCTTCTGCTGCTGCTGAACAGCACATCCCACCAACAAAGAGCCAGGCTTTCTTCAAAGGGACTGCAAACACTTGCCATGGGCTCAAACCCAGAGACACGTCTGAGGTGAGAGCCTTGAAGAATGCATTAATGCACTGCCAAGCCCAGCTGGCCTGTTCACTCCCTGCCTGGATGGCTGTGTTCTCCTCCAACATGCTTGTTATGTTGAGTGGTGTTCCTAAATGGCCTGTGGTTAAATGTGTGGGTTCAGTAACACTAGAAAAATGCTGCATACTGTAAATGCAAGTACACAATTGTGTGTATATATTAATGAAGTAGTAAACATCAGAAGAGTAAATCTGTGATTCGCACAGCCGTAGTGTAAAATAACTCTTCTTCTTCTTTAGACACGCTCACAGCTGCACTTGTCCAGGACTGTGTCGCATGAATCGCTGTGCTCATTAACGATGCTGTGGGACACTCTGGATCGTGGACTTACGGACTCAGAAGGTATCCACATCCTCCCCACGATGCGCTGTACTCGCAGTCTTTGCACATCACTGTAGTGTAGTCAGAGCGCTGAGTGTCAGTTTGTAGCAGAAGACAAAACAAGTTCACAGCCAGCATCACAAACATTCATTTCATCTCATTTTGTATCTAGTTTGTGATCATAAGTACAGTTACTCTATGTTACTGGAATAAAACAAACTCTGCTCCCAGTGTGAGTCAGCGACAGATCAGCTGTTGCTCAACGTGTGGCCTGGTCTCTGTCAGCGCTCCAGGGAACAATTTCCCAACCAGATAAAGCTGACTTGCAGTGATTGGCATCATAGCAGTCAATAATTGTGAAACCAGAAAAACAAAGCACAAAGTTTGAATGATGTGTTGATAAAGGATGAGTTAGAGATGTCTGTGATAGCTGTTAAAGCAACAGTGCTGCTTTCTTGTGTACAGTTCCACTGTGGGAGAAACGTGAGTCTATCTTCTGTCTTTACCGACATCCAACAGTGAACTCTGAGACTGATGACTTATTTAATTATTTATTTATTTAGGACAGTGCATGTTAATGAACATAAATGTAAAAAAAACAAAACAATTACATGAATGTAAACATGCCAGATTATAGCCAAAGGCTAATTTCCATCTGTTGTCCTTAAACATAAAAAAATAGACATAAAGTGGGGCAAAAAAGTATTTAGTCAGCCACCGATTGTGCAAGTTCCCCCACCTAAAATGATGACAGAGGTCAGTAATTTGCACCAGAGGTACACTTCAACTGTGAGAGACAGAATGTGAAAAAAAATCCATGAATCCACATGGTAGGATTTGTAAAGAATTTATTCGTAAATCAGGGTGGAAAATAAGTATTTGGTCACCTCAAACAAGGAAAATCTCTGGCTCTCACAGACCTGTAACGTCTTCTGTAAGAAGCTTTTCTGTCCCCCACTCGTTACCTGTATGAATGGCACCTGTTTGAACTCATCATCTGTATAAAAGACACCTGTCCACAGCCTCAAACAGTCAGACTCCAAACTCCGCCATGGCCAAGACCAAAGAGCTTTGGAAGGACACCAGGAAAAGTATTGTAGACCTGCACCAGACTGGGAAGAGTGAATCTACAATAGGCAAGCAGCTTGGTGTGAAAAAATCAACTGTGGGAGCAATCATCAGAAAATGGAAGACATACAAGACCACTGATAATCTCCCTCGATCTGGGGCTCCACGCAAGATCTCATCCCGTGGGGTCAAAATGATCATGAGAACGGTGAGCAAAGATCCCAGAACCACACGGGGGGACCTGGTGAATGACCTGCAGAGAGCTGGGACCAAAGTAACAAAGGTCACCATCAGTAACACACTACAACGGCAGGGAATCAAATCCCGCAGTGCCAGACGTGTTCCGCTGCTGAAGCCAGTGCATGTCCAGGCCCGTCTGAAGTTTGCCAGAGAGCACATGGATGATACAGCAGAGGATTGGGAGAATGTCATGTGGTCAGATGAAACCAAAGTAGAACTTTTTGGTATAAACTCAACTCGTCGTGTTTGGAGGAAGAAGAATACTGAGTTGCATCCCAAGAACACCATACCTACTGTGAAGCATGGGGGTGGAAACATCATGCTATGGGGCTGTTTTTCTGCCAAGGGGACAGGACGACTGATCCGTGTTAAGGACAGAATGAATGGGGCCATGTATCGTGAGATTTTGAGCCAAAACCTCCTTCCATCAGTGAGAACTTTGAAGATGAAACGAGGCTGGGTCTTCCAACATGACAATGATCCAAAACACACCGCCCGGGCAACAAAGGAGTGGCTCCGTAAGAAGCATTTGAAAGTCCTGGAGTGGCCTAGCCAGTCTCCAGACCTCAACCCCATAGAAAATCTGTGGCGGGAGTTGAAAGTCCGTGTTGCTCGGCGACAGCCCCAAAACATCACTGCTCTCGAGAAGATCTGCATGGAGGAATGGGCCAAAATACCAGCTACTGTGTGTGCAAACCTGGTAAAGACCTATAGTAAACGTTTGACCTCTGTTATTGCCAACAAAGGTTATGTTACAAAGTATTGAGTTGTATTTTTGTTATTGACCAAATACTTATTTTCCACCCTGATTTACCAATAAATTCTTTACAAATCCTACCATGTGGATTCATGGATTTTTTTTTCACATTCTGTCTCTCACAGTTGAAGTGTACCTCTGGTGCAAATTACTGACCTCTGTCATCATTTTAGGTGGGGGAACTTGCACAATCGGTGGCTGACTAAATACTTTTTTGCCCCACTGTAATAAACTTATTTGAGCCAATGTTTCTGGGTGGTTCAGCAGGTAGAGGAGGTCATGATGAACAGGAAGGTACAGACACATCGAGCTACAGACCATCTCTAACTCGGACCACAGCCACAAATCTTCTTGTCCATCCAGCAGGTCGTCTCCAGTCTTCATGTGAAATATCGTTGGGCAACAGGCTGGGCCCAAGTTACTCCGTGAATGTTAGATAGAAAGTGCTTAAAGTGCTTGTGTGGATGGATGAGATTGCAGAAAGCACTGAGTGCTCAGTTACAGCAGAACAGTGCTAAATAAGAACGCGTCCACTTACCGTTTATTTCCTTCTGTTCAGCCCTGACAGCTCATTTCAGTGATGATGATGAATGTCTGCCTTTGGTGTCACTGTCATGGGGATGTGCTTCGTGAGTACAGACGTGAGGTCTCACGTCGTTTTGGGGATGGGAATGATGGTGGAGGGCGTCAGACTGGTGGGAATGGCAGCACGAGTCAGGGAGAGGTTGAACTTTGTACTGTTGTTGTTGTTTGTCAACAGAACTGCATAAAAATCAGCAACAGAATCCTTTTATTCATTTTAGGCATTATGTGGTACATATATATATGGGAAGCATCACTTTAGCTGAGCTGAGCACACATGTCATAAATACACTTGTAGCATCTGTAACCAAACCAGGTAATGAACAGCTGGTTGAAACTCGTGGGAGTTATGATGTCTTTGAACAGTTTATAGATCATAGACATGGCACGCATTAATAGGCTGCACTGGACCAACCTGCACCGACACGTCACTGCAGCGAATCGCAGTGACCTGTGCTGCTGTTAGTGTGTTTTTGGATCTGAATTCAACAAATGAAACAGTTGTAAGTCAACTTCTTTTGTCTCTCCAAAAGGTGAACGTGGGCTCAGGAGCAGACAGTCTGGTGGCTCTGGAGTCCAGATGATGGTGCATGGTAGTGGTGTGATTCCCAGCCAGCCCCAGACTGAGGTCCAGCAAAGCAGGAGCCAGTCTAAAACACTGCCAAGCACTACCAAGACCAACAGACCTGCAGTCCCTGCCAGGATCAGCAAGATCAGAAACTACAATGTTAAAGACTGAGATGGATGTTGAGGACAAGCCCAGACCAGAGCTCCCAGCAGCTGGCACACTGGGAGTAACACACGAGCATCACGGACAACACAAAAAAGAGAGAAGAGTGGGACAAGGAAGGGAACGAGACTCTGATGGATGTAATGAAGACAATCAGACAGAAAACAACAGCAAACACACACCAGCAAAGGAGGACACAGGCCACATACACAAGAACACTCACAGTAAACATGAACACAAAGACAAAAACACTGCAAGACAGAGACAATCGAGACAGAGACAGGACGGATAAGAAACACTCAAGGGACCAAAAACCTGAAACTGGAGCTGAACCACACAGTCCATCAAACTGAGCAGGAAGCAGAACTCGAATAACACAACAGGACAACTATGACTGACCCACAATGAAGCTATACAACAAACAGGTTACTGAATAAGATGTGATTGTTTTCATGCACATATGCACCGCAGCAGAAGGAGAAAACAAACCCTGACCAGCAAAAACCTGAACAGAAATCAAACGTGTTGAACCCACGTGAGAGTTTCAGGGAGGAATATTCATGATTTTAAGGAGCGTTACACCTTTATTGCTGCGCTCTCACACACTCTGTCAGATCCAATAACTGAAGAAACTACAGAGACACAGAACACACAGGAGCATACAGCACGAGGCCTTAAACACACACGAGGGGACGAGGCAGAGTGGACACCACAGGGGACACAGCTGGACAGAGTCACAGTAAGGGACTGTCAAAATAAAACAGGAAACGTAACACTGACACAGACACAAAGACGGACGAACCATGGACAAAAAGGTAAAGACACATGGAGACACGTGGAGGAAACTAATAAACCTGAAGCTAAACTAGAGTCACAAAAGTGAACTAACAGAATCCACAGAAAGACGAAGAACCAACCTGAGGAGCATGAGGAAGTAACACTGATCAGTGGGTTAGAACTCCAACATAAATTCACGTACTCGTGAATAAATCCTTTATAAAGTTAAAATGTGTCCCCATCATTGTTCCAGTCTTGTTGTCCTTCAGTACATCTTCATGTCCTTCTAGTGGGAGGTTTCAGGTTTTGTCCTGTCGTGTGTAATTCTCTCTGGTGTTCATCTGTCTCTGTGCACACGAGGACAGTCGCACACAAACACTGTTGCAGCAGACCACGGTGGCTTCCACGCGAGCAGCTTCAAAACATGCTTCATCCCCGAGAAAGTATCTGCTTTACCACAGAGATCATCTGGGTCATCAGCGTACACTGTGGGTGTGAATCAGAGCAGACAGTGGTGTGTCTGCGACAGAAACAATCACTGACAGGTTTGCATGTAAATAAAGCAACTTGCTTTGGTGAACTCTAAACACTCTGTCGTCATGGTTTAACAGACACATGATCAAATCTACAGGCAGCTTCTTTCTGAAACACGAGCAGCTGCTGCTGTTTCTCCTCAGGTTCAGAAACCCACTCCTGTTACATGTTGTTGTGGAGAAACAGGAAGTGCATTTCTCCCCTGGAATAGAGATTTTATAAGTGCTGGAGACCATATTTCATATGCTCCATATGATATCAGCTGTCACCCTGCCACATTTCCTCTCACCTCTCAGTAAACCTTTGTCAGTCCGTCCTTTTATTCCTGATATTCCCAGATACCAAACAGGTGATACACACTGCTAATTTTGTACACTGACCCACTGTGTGTTGTTTGGGACTGTCCCCTTCACTTTCATTATATTATCGTAGTATCTGTGGAAAACCTGGGAAACGCTGATCTGTGAAATACAAGTGTGGGCGTGCACAAAGTGTTTCGACACAAAGTGAACCATCATCAGGACATCATGTGTGGCAGCACTGGTATAGGGACACACAGGTGAATGCTGGGTGACAGCGAGACACACCTGAACTCTGAGTGCTTTGTATCACGCTCACTGCCTGCAGCACTCACATGGATGCAGATTCAGCTTGAGTGTTTTGCCCAAGGGCACTTTGTCATGCAGCCCTGAGGATCCACAGACAGGCTTTACTGTGGGGTATGACATGAAGTTATTTCAGACAACACGAGCTGTACCTGAGCTATCATCCATCCACAGACCTACACCTATTTTTATATAGCAGTCACACACTCACACAAGCACTTTCTTCTGTTTTTTCTCACATTCACACTCCGATGGATGTGTGAGTAAATCTTGCCTGAGGATATTTGGCAAGCAGACTGGATCAGCAGGGACCGAAGCACACGCTCCAGTGTGAGACCTGCCCTGGCTTCTGAGGCTCCAGGTGGGACACACAGGTCACGGTGTGGCTGCTTTGGTGAGCTGTGTGCTTTGTGTAGATGAGTGTGATTGTTGTGGTCCATTACAGGACACTTCACCTCAGCTGAGGAGCCAAAGTCCCGATGAGCTGGATGGAGCTGATGAGTACTGACCATAGGTGGAGCTGGAGGTCAGCAGCTCCTTACACCATCATGCGACTGAACCGTGAACTCCAGTAACCCTGACAAGTCACGCGAGCTCTCCTGGCTACGTCACAGTTGGGTCCCGCCCTTTAATCACCCTATCTCAACAGTGGCTGCAGGTCTGCAGCGATTGGACGAAGCCTCACATCCTCGCTCCGTGATTGGCCAGCTTCGCCTGTCATCCAGAAGTTGCCGGCTGCACCTTCGCATCGTCAGCTGCGGTGTAACGTTGAGCAGCTCTGCGCGTGCACGTCCCGCAGCGCCCCGTGCACGCTATCAGTACCCCCCCCACCTCCCTCCGTGACCGTCGTAGGAGGATGACTAGAGTTTATCGCGTCCCATCTGCCGGCTGCTCTCGTCGCGCCGCTGCCGGTTGACCGTTAGTAACCCCGGCTCTTTTTTCTGCGCGCATCCACACAGTTGCTCCATCACTGGCTGGATCGCAGAGCCCTGCCTCTCCTCTCATTGGACTGCTGAGCCAAGCGGTTGTCAGCCCATGTGGCGTGGGCAGGCAGAGTGTGACACATTTAAGTTCATCAGAGAAAAAAGCGTGAATGAAGCGCGGAGGCTAACGGAGGCTCTCACACCCACGGCGGCTGAAGACTCGACACATGACCGAGCGTGCTGAGCGGCTCAGCCTCACGTTTTACCGGAACATCCGTCGGTTCGGCTCAGACAGGTAAGCTCGTCCGCGGCTGCTGCTCGCTGCTTATTGTGGTCCCGACCGGTGTCCAAACTCGGCATCCCCGACAATTTTTGTTATAATGACTAATTACTCCTGACATTCTTGAGATGTTAGCTCTTCATACAACGAAGTTATAGTGGGATACAAATCATATCAGGCTGATCCTGCCACGATTTGTTCCCTCTGTGTAAATCACGGACAAACAGTCTCCCACATTTTTAGTTCACAAACACTTCTTATTATGACGCATTACTCCTGAAACTTTAGAGGATTTAGCTCTTTATATAGTAAAGTTACAGGAGAATAAAAATAGTTATCAGCCAAAATGTTAATGGTTTGTTAAAATAATCCCCAAGCTCAGCTGTGTGACAGCATGGAGCTGGCATACAAGATCCCAGGACAGAACAGCACTGAGGATGAGGGACGTAGGTCATCAGCATCTGTGACAGCCCACTGCCATCAGTTATTCTGGGAGAACTCGAGAGTCCGTGGACATACACGTGTTGGAGGCCTGGGCCCTGATCAGTATGGTGGCCACGCTGGTGCTTGGGTCCAGTGAACAGCAGCACTGTTGTTACTGCAGCCCTGTGGTCACCACGGTGCTTCAGGGCTCATTGATTCTTTTTAGACTCACTCATCTGTCAGATCGCTTTAAACTACAGTCACCATCGTTCACAGCACTTCATCAGCTTCACATTCAAAGTTGTTTAAAATGACCAGCTAAGCTAACAGGCATGTGTAGGACAGTGAGATTAAAGAATATGTTGACAAAAGAAACCAAACTCATTCCTGGAACTATTTCAGAAAGCATCGAGTCAGTGGCCGAGCCCCCTGCAGTGCAACGTGAAACTTTTTAATGACAGCAGTGTTGAAGCAACAAACTAATGTGGAGATGAAATCCAGGAACACGTTTTTCCTGTGGATCCACACATAGTTACAGTGTGGAGTCATGGAAGGAGCTGAGAATGTGTCATTGTTGTTCACTGTTTCACGCTCTTCCTGTGAAGATGCTGACAAGTCAGGTCCTGTTGTGGCTGCTGCAGAGCGAAGCCCTGACACAAAGGAGCAGAGTGAGGGAGAACGGGGGAAGACGAGGAGGATGTGCCCTGAATAGAAATGGTCACGCCGAGCTGTGCGCACACAGTGACTTTGCAGTTTAGCAGCTAGCTCGTAGTTAGCAAATTGTCTGCATACGCTCACAATGGGGTGTAATCTGGGTCAAGATGGTGCACTGAAGGAGCCGGGCTAGATGTAATCCCAGGGCGGGACATCCTGGAGTCCAAATCCCTTCAGACTGTGTCGTGTTGTGTAACGTGGTCGCGTTGTCTTCACATTTGTAATGCCACACAAGCAAAACAGTGGCATGAGTGTGATTGTTGGTTTTTGTTGGTGCAACCTCACAGTGTGCATGTCAGAGCTCTGGCACAGCTTTACTCAGGACCTGGATGGTTTTGGAGACACAGCGTAGCTGCAGCTCTGCAGGTCGCAGTCACACGCAGCAGTGTTTTTATTGTGTCCACAAAGTTGCAAACATCAGTGTGATCAGAGAGGACACACACACACACAGACCTGTTTTTTTCTAGGTCACTGTCCGGTGCAGCGTGGAGTGCTGTATTGTTGGGATGGTTGTTGCCATGGTTACATGAATAGTGAGTCTGGCCCCAGCACCGACCACATTCATTGTTGTTAAACTGCAGAATGCTTGTCACTGATTGGCCCTCTGTGTCTGCAGTAAATAAACATGGATGAGATCGTCATAGCTGGAATATCGGGCCGCCTGCCTGAGTCCAGCAACCTGGAGGAATTTTGGGAAAACCTCATCAATGGTGTGGATATGGTAACAGAGGACAACCGGCGATGGACACCAGGTAAAAGCTTGCCTTCGGTTTCTATGTAACATATTTACTGAGCTGAGTTTCTCGTCAAAGACTAATATTTTATACCTCCTGCACTGTGCAGCAGTGTTGGTGCCTCTGCAGGCTGAGCTGAGTTTAGCTGCTTTGACATATTTGAAGGTAAAATAATGAATGTGAGTCATCAGGAACAGAGGATGGAGCAGATTTAACCAACAGCTTGGTTTATTTACTTTAGTTGATTCATCTGATCGCTGCCAGTGTCACTTCAGTTTATTCCACTTCCTGTTAAAAAGTAAAGTCTTTTTTAATCATCATCATATGGATTTAACTTCATGGTTTCATTTTTTGTTATCCAAGTTTTACTGGTGATTCCTAACTGGTGTGATCATAAACCTGCTGTGTGCTTTTGCCTGCTTCCTGTGAGCTGCACACAGGCAGTAATAAGCACTCAATGTCCTCTGTCGCTCTCTGTGCTGGAAAAGGGAAACGTCCTCGTGAGGATTTTCCTCCCCTCTTTGGCTCAGTCTGGTCTCACAGCATCGTGTTTGGTGCTCAGTGTGAGCAGTGGCTGTGGACCGTGTGTGGGGTCCTGCTGCTGTAACATTGTGCTGTTTGCAGGTCTGTACGGTCTTCCAAAGAGGAACGGGAAACTCAAAGACATCAGCCACTTCGACGCAGCCTTCTTTGGAGTCCATCCCAAACAGGCCAACAGCATGGACCCGCAGCTGCGCCTCATGCTGGAGATCGCCTACGAGGCTATTGTAGATGGAGGTGAGAGCAAACGAGTGGTGAGCTGAGGTTTAGTTTGCAGTTGGGGGAAAGACGACATGTGAGTGAAAATGAAATGTTGTGCTGCAGGACTGAATCCAGCCACGCTGCGCGGCAGCAAAACAGGCGTGTACATCGGTGTGAGCGGCTCCGAGGCGGGCGAAGCATTCAGCAGAGATCCAGAGGAGCTCCTGGGCTACAGCATGACGGGCTGCCAGCGCGGCATGTTGGCCAATAGACTGTCCTACTTCTTCGACTTCAGCGGTACGTGCACGCAGCGCTGCTCAGCACGTGTGTGTTTGCAGTGCTGTCAGCGTGATCCAGTGTGAGACACACACTCAGGTTTAGGTGGACGCTCTGCTGCAGCTCAGGATCACCTTTGATCTTAGAGTAGCAAAGGAGTCTGCAGATCAGTGACGTGCAGTAGTGTTTGTGTCGACAGGCAGGACGTAAACGTGCAGAGAGCACGCACGCTGCAGCAGCTGGACTGCTTTGAATGAACGATCTGGGCTCTGATTTTATTCGTCCACTGAATTGTTGCTGATATATTTTGTGTGTTTTTACTCTTTCTCGCTCTGTGCCGTAGTGGTTTCCTCAGCATACCACAGCTCGGACGATCAGATGGGCGGCTCCGTATGTGGCGCCCGGCTCTAACCCTGCTGCCTTTGTTCTCCAGGCCCCAGCACTGCCATAGACACGGCGTGCTCCTCCAGCCTGCTGGCTCTAGAAAACGCCTTCCACGCCATCCGGCAGGGCCACTGTGACGCTGCTTTAGTTGGGGGAGTGAACCTGCTTCTCAAGCCGAACACTTCAGTGCAGTTCATGAAGCTGGGCATGCTCAGTCCAGAGGGGACCTGCAAGTCATTTGATGCTTCAGGTAAAACATCACCTGGTCTACATGTGACATCACAGAGTTTCTGTTTGGGAGCGATGGGGAGGAGCCGCTCCTCCACCGGCTGCCGGCACATTTAATCTTTCTGTGTTACATTTACTTTGACATTTCTTGACTAACTCAATGACGTAGAACGTTTTTTGTCTCAGCTTTAACTGTCTTCAATGTGTGACATACATGCGAGCGTGCTGCACGTTTGTGTTGTCAGGAAATGGATACTGCCGCTCGGAGGCAGCGGTGGCAGTG